TTCTAGTAACTTCTTCAGAGGAGTCATAGGTGTCTCGGTGACCCCCACCGAGTTTTTCCCTTTTTTTCATAAGTTATTGTCCAAAAAGCCAAATTAAACTGACGATGATTCGGTGTTGAAAAGTAACAACAGGAGGAAACTTTCAGGGGGATGACTACTTTGTGTTGTGATGATTTGTGTGGAGCAGTGAGGGTTCAGGTGGATGGAGAACACCTGGCTAGAGGTGAAGATGAACACAGCTTTCAGATGGTGAGGATGCTGGATGTGGATCCTCTCAGATCTCTTCTTGTCTTCAGTCCGTCCTCACTGCCATGTCTCTTCATGTGTCCTCGAGCGTCCAACGAGACAAAGTCCAGATCATGACTTCCCACTGAGATGTTCCAGGAGTTGGTTCCTTCTCCACTGCTGCCTGTGTCCTGGTGTTTCTTCAGGGTTCTGTTCTTTCTGTCCACAGACAGAGACCTGGCAGTGCTGCGACTTCTGAAGCTCTGACAGTACGAGAGGCTGACGCTCCCTGAAACAGAAGGAGAACAAAGAGTGGACATGTTGGGTTTTCTGCTAAACCAGTACCAAAGACCAGAACCAGTACCAGTTTTGGTTAGTTACTTTCATACAAGCTGCCCCTCCTGCTCTGTGCTCGCCTCCTGTTGGCCTTCTCTCGGCCAAACACCATGGCGTAGACGTCGTCCCTGAACTCCCGGTGCATGATCTGGTAGATCAGAGGGTTGATCATGCAGTGGGACTTGGCCAGCATGGCGGGGATCAGGGTGACCACCGGGTGCAGGCTGGAGGCCGACCGGGACCTGAGGGCCGGTCCAGGGTCTGCTCTGTCCTCAGCACTGTGAGGAACCTGTCTGTAGAACTCTGCTGTGGTCCAGTTGAGCGGCGACGAGGCGTCCAGGACGTCTGGAGCTGCTGCAGAGGGTTCAGCTTCCGTGAGGGCTGAGATCAGGGACACGGTGGCGTAGGGCATCCAGGCCAGCAGGAAGGTGGCGCAAACCACCGCCGCCATCTGCAACAAACACCTGGTTTACCTTCCCATAGGACACCCAGCAGCCAATCAGAACATCAGCACTGTCATCAGGTCTCACCTTGGCAAGTCTCAGGTCTTTGCTGGAGTTACTGACGACGGAGGAGGGAATGGAAGCTAACGTACGGTTGGACCTGAACACCTGTGAACAGAAACTGAGGTCAGTGCTGCTAATGACTCCACAAGTTCACTTTATTCCTGCAGGGACGACAGAAAACTCCTCTGAGGATGGTAAGGTCGCCATGTGAAGAAATAAATGACCCACCTGTAAAAAAATAAATAAAAAAAAGTTGTAACCAAAGCACCGAAACACGGTGTTCAACAACTACCTGCACAGATCCGTCAAATAAGGAAGGTTTCAGTGGGTTTGACAGTAAAACAGTAATTTTATCGTCACACACTGTCACAGCAAACATGAGAAGTATTTTCTGGAGGTTTTATAGATGCTGTCTGTAATTTACCAAAACAGGGACAATCTGTAAAAACAAACAAACAAAAGATGAATTGTTCAAAACTGTTTTAAAATGTTCCCTTTTATTATTCATTGATCAGGTTCATTTTTTAAACTTTACACTAAACTACCCACTGAGTTTTATTAAAGTAAATATTTAAATCTGTTTTTCTGTTTTACTTTTTTTTTCTGCTGTCTTCAGTTTTATTGTCTGTACAGTAACTGGTTGTTTCTTTTGTTATTTAAGTAATTAATTTATTACATTTTAATGTTTTGCCTTTGAATGAATTCTCTGTATGATGAGGTTCTTTATCGATGAACTTCTTGCTTCTAAGTGATTGTCTCACCAGGATTCCTGACCTGCTGCTAAACTCACCACGAGGCTGTTTGTGCAACATCCAGTCATTTATTATTATGCAGAATGTGAAAGCTGTGATTATTTCTCTGGACGTTGTGCTTAAGGATGAGTTTGTCGAAATAATCCTGCTTTCATCCATGTGTAGGTGCAGAACTTCCATCTGTGGTGTGTGAGCTGCTGCTCTGAGGGTTTAAATGAGCAGCTGGATGGAGCAGAGCTGAGATGGTTTGTTTTAGTTTAACAACAGGGCAGCAGCCACATTCCTCCAGTTATCACACCACGTTTAGATTAATAGTGAATTCGTGCGGGCCACGCACACAGAACTGTGGAGCTGCAGCCGTTCTCACCGTCAGCAGGATGAACACGTACGAGGAGATGATGGTGAGAGTTGGAAACCCGAAGCACAGCGTCAGGATGAGCAGAATGTAGATCCGGTCGTTGACAGAGGTTCTGATCCGCCACCTGAACCACAGAACATCACAAACATGTTGGTCTGAAGGAGGCCGATAAACCAGCACATTAATCCTGCATTACCAGTTGATGGTGCAGCTCAGCCCGTAAGGTTCTGGTCCGTAGCTTCCAAAGCCGACGGCCGGCAGGGAGGCCCAGAATACTATGTAGACCCAGACCAGAGCGATGGACCAGAACACATGGCGCCGCTCGATCCACTGACCTGCAGGAAGAACAGGAGCCGGTGAGTGGAGGTGGAGGCAGGATGACTTCACACACATTTCATCAGTTCATCGCTTCTTATTCAATCAAGAATCCTCGGATCCTCTGAACCCCAAAACCGGATCTAAAGTGACTCCATTTGTCTGATCAGAGACGGTAAAAACAGATTTCTGGTACTGAATGTGATGTGTGGTTCCAAATGAACCAAATCTGAACTTAAATCCTGATATTAAATCAAATTCACTTAAAAAGAAAAAGAAAAATGTTTCCTTGAACCATATTGTGTAAAAACAGAAACCTGGAGCTCTGCAGCTCAGCCGGTTCTCCATGTGTCCCAACGTCTGGACCGGCGCCAACCAGCACCGTAGAAAGAGCTTCAGTGTTCCAATAACATGCTCACTGCTTTCTGCGTGTTGTTCTGGACACTCTGACCCACAATCCTCCACAGTCACATCCTCGCATGACAATAAAGAAGTTTGAGCCTCTGAAAGCGCACAAAGCTTAAGACGCACGATTACGAAGAATTACTCCGTCCGACTTATACGAGACGGCATCAGACCGTTTAGTGCTGAAAGCAAAACAAAAAGAAAGTGATTTGGAACGCAGCCGACGGTGGACTGAGCTCTGACCAACAGGAAACATCCAGAGAGCTTCAGGTGAGCTGCAGCCAGAGTTTCCTCAGAGA